GTAATTTGTAGTACGTTCGGTGGTAAAATAGTAATTTGCAATAAGGTCGGAGGGGTAGTTTAGAAATTGTACATTTTGTAATTTTTTTATATGAAGCATGGGGGACAAAATGTAATGGGGTGGGTTATGATATAGTTGTTTAATATAAAGGGGGGACAAGACAAAGTTTAGTGGGAGGAATCTTGTATTTGTTTAATGAAGCATGGGGGACAAAATATAATGGGGTGGTGATGATATATTTATTTAATGTAATGGGGATGAGTGAGAAGATAATGGGTTTGGTAGAGAAAATGGGTTGATTTTAATTGATTAAAAGATTTATGGGATGAGATATATATAGAAGTCTTGAAACTGATTTAGAGGACACACAGAAAAGAAGAGAACAGACAGATAGAGAGAATACAGAAATAAGAGAAAGAGAACAGAAATAGAGAGAAAAAAAGGGTTGAACATTTAGGAGTAAGAAAAATTCCGAAAAATATTTAAGCTTTCAAATAAAAAAAACTAAAAAAAATCTTCTGCTTTCTTTATTGTTTGAAATCAGTATTAATTGTTGTTGTTTGATTCAAAGCTTGAAGCTTTTGTTTTTGGGATTACTGCTCTACTGGTTTGCCAACTCTTTTCCTGGGTTGTTACTGTTGCTGGGCTGTTGTTGCTGGGCAGTACTGTTATTACTGCTGCTGATTCTCATCTTTATTTTCTTTTGCTTCCAATATCAGGTACATATTTGTAAACTCATGTCATGAAAAGCTTCAACATGGCAAGTAAATGAAGTTTGAAATTATAAGGATGTCTTCTACTCATTTAAATTTTATTAGTTTAAGTTTCAGTTTTGTTTTAGTTGGTTAATATAGTATTATAATTGACATGATAAACTGTTAACTAATTAACCTTCTGGAGTAGTAAATTCCACGATAATCTTATATGTTTTGAGGACTAGTGATGACATTTACTGTTTGAATTGTTGAGATAGGGAACATGGCAGAAAGTTGGCCATTAATTATATTTTGTGATACTGTTGGTTAAGCGTAGGATAGTATGGAAATACCAAGAAACTACATTACTAGCATATCTCGTCCAATATTTGATTTTGTTCAAAGCTAGATGATTGTTAGTTGTATTTTGATCATATATGGCGCAATAATGGTTATGTGTATAATCAATAGTTGAAAGGTGAATTGATATAATCCGTTACGATTACAATGTTGGAATATTGCGAACAGTTCATGATGTATGTTTGCGTTATATGTGATGTCGTCTTATTAAATCAATTGGTAGATTAGTTCTCTTTCTTAATAACAAATGGCCATAGTTATTTTGAGAGTGCGATCAACTCAATTCTAAAAAAAACAAAGTATAAAAATAATGTCAATAATTTTTACAAAATATAGAGTTAGTGTTTGCAAATATTCGCATAGGCCGAGAATAAGAATTGGTTTGATTATATTTATCCTAAATTCAATCATCGTGAGCAAATTAACCAAATAATCATACATTTGGATTAAAAACAAGTGGTGTAGAAGAAGATTGGATTTATAAATTGCAACATTTTAAGAATGTATAAATAGCATTCGCTACAAATAGAATAATGCAAATTCTTCGAAAAAATATTAGTTTGTTTATCCGTTTAAATCTTTCCGAATTTTGCGTGTAATTCACTTTTTATACTAATACCATATTAACTAATAAAATGGTAAGTGTAGCCGCACGTTATTTATTCTTTATCATTAATTTCTTAAATTTGAATAATCTTTGAGAGACATAACCCATACGTGTAAAATATAACTCGCGGTCAACGCCTAATAAATTTTGAATTCTTTTTCAAGAAATTTGGTGGCATCCCATTCGGTGATTCTCCATGACTCTCACAGTTAAAAATAGATGGATGCAATAAACATTTGTAGAGAATTTATATTACCATCAAGAATATTTGCATAATTAGGGATGCGTTCGCGTGACTTGATTATACTTCTAAAGGCAATTCGGATTATGCGTTCGCGCAACTTCGAGCAAATTTTTAATAAAAGGGGTTCCTCGGAGGATGTTAAAATAATTTCATATAACCCGAGATGTGCAGTTCACTATTTAATAATACAAGGGTGATGATGTTCTTAATTTTATTTCGAACATATTTTTTTTTATAACAAAAATATAAAAATATTATCAATCTTATTGTGTACACGTATGCGTGACACGATTCTTACGTTTATAAAAAATATATAATACGCATATACGTGCGCGTGATTCGTTTCAAAGAAGGGTCTATAATTATAAACAATCTAAGGCAGTAACGAAATCAGGCAACAAGAAAAAATATATTTAGTAAATCGAGATAATTAAGCCAAGTATAAAAATGGTTAAGCGACCGTGCTAGAACCACAGAATTCGGGAATGCCTAACACCTTCTCCCGGGTTAACAGAATTCCTTACTCAGGATTTCTGATTCGCAGAATGACAAACAGAGTCATATTCTCCTCGATTCAGGGATTAAAACTGGTGACTTGGGACGCCTTAAAATTCCCAGGTGGCGACTCTGAAACAAACAAATAAATCCCATTTCGACTGTCCTTTAATTGGAGAAAACTCTCTTGTCCTCTCGCGGGGGCGGAAAGAGGAGGTGTGACACCCGGCAAGTCTGCAAGAAACACATCCGGAAAGTCTTGCACTACCGAAACAAAATCAATAGTAGGAGTATCAACACCAACATCCCTCACAAAAGCCAAAAATAACAAACACCCCTTCCCAACCATCTGTTGGGCCTTCAGATATGAAATCACCACAATGGGAACATAGTCTAGATAACATCTCCATTCAATCCTAGGTAAACCCAGCATCGCCAATGCCATGGTCTTAGTGTGACAATCTAGAATAGAATGGCATGGAGACAACCAATCCATAGCCAGAATCACGTCAAATCAACCATACTAAGTAATAAGAGATCAAACCTAATCTCCAATCCTCCAATAGTCACTGAGGCCTAGATACATGAACAGGAGAAACTAAGGACTCACGGGGCATATCCAAATAACGAGCAAAATATGATGATACATACAAATAAGTGAAACTAGGTCAAATAATATAGAAGCACCCCTGTGGCATACTGAGACAATACATGTGATTACTGCGTCTGAAGTAATAGCCTCTGTCCTGGCAGGGAAATCATAGCATCGAGCCTAGCCGCTACCTGATCGGCCTCCCCTTCTAGAGCGACCTCTGACAGCTTGAGCTCTACCTCGAGTTGGCTGAGTAGGTGATGAAGTAACTGGTGCGGAAGTCATACCTTGACCCATCTGCTGAACTAGACCTCCATAGCAGCAGGGACACTACCTCCACACATGTCCAAACTCCCCGCACTCGAAGCAACTCCCTAATAGAGGTAGGGACTGAATTGGACCCCGAGAACCAGAATAACTACTAGAAGAGCCTGGTGCAGATGAACTATGAATTGATGGAGCATGACATAAACTCTCAGCTGGAAGGGCACTGAGAGATGATTGACCCGAACGAGCACTATATGAACCATGGCTAGTGGATGTACTACGATGAACCGGTCGAGCCATCTGAGCGGGCTATAAGGACAATCCCTACACTGGTAGGACTGCCCTTAAGACGAAACACCGCGGAAACCACCCAAACCATGAGGCCTCTTGGACTCCCTCTCCTCACGCTTCTGACTACAGACCTGCTCTAGCCTTTTAGCAATATTGACCACCTCATCGAACCTAGCACCTTATGCAATCTCCTGAGTCACAACAAAGTGTAGTGCATAGTTGAGGACATCAATGAACCTCATAAGCCTCTCCCTCTCTGTGGGAACTAACTAGATCGTGTGATGAGCCAACTCTGAAAATCTCATATCATAGTGGGTCACAAACATACCATCCTGGCGTAGCTACTCAAACTACCTACATAGCTCCTCCATGCGGGTCGGTGGTACAAACTATTCCAAGAAGAAAATGGAGAACTCGTGCCATATAAGTAGTGCAACACTAACTGGACTTCGTTGCTCATAGCCTCCCACCATATGAAGGTTGCCCCCAACAACTGAAAAGTAGTAAATGAGACCCCACTAGTATCCAGAATACCCGCCGTGCAAAGAATCCGATGTCACCTGTCCAAGAAGTCCTAATCATCCTCTAACTCATCCCCATTGAATGATGGAGGCTTGAGCCTCCCAAACCTCTCTGGTATCTTCTGCTCCCTGTCACTCATCGGTGGACCCACTTAGGCTTGAGTAGCTATAGGTAGCTGGGCTGGTAGTACCCCCGGTGTTTGAAGTCCCTACACCACCTGCTCTAGAGTACGGGCGTCGCGAGTTTGAGCACCTCCCCCAGCCTGAGAAGTGGTTGGTGCTGCTCTAGCTGTTGTACGAGCTGTACCTCGGCCTCTACTGCAGCCCCGACCTCTTGTGGCCCTAGCTAGTGGTACTAGTGGCTATCCGCCCGGTCCGGTAGCACATGTCCTCACCATCTATGAGAGACTAGAATAACAAAAAGTTTAGTTTCTGGAATTAAGAAATTCCCACGATAAGAATACCAAAAAGTGAAGTTTTCCAAATGGTTCGGCAGGCTCTCAAAGATAAGTACAGACGTCTCCGTACCGATCCGCAAGACTCTACTAACCCTGCTCATAATTCGTGATACCTATGTAACCTAGGCTCTGCTACCAACTTGTCAGGACCCAAAATCTCACATGTCGTGATGGTGTCTATCGCATTACTAGGCAAGCCGGCAATTCACAAATAACCACACAACTTTCAAGATAAAACATACTGAAATAAGCTTAAATAGTGAAAATCTCATAAATAACTTGTAAGAAAATATCGCGACTCAATACAAAATCTCCCAAAATTCGTTGTCACTAAGTACATGAGCATTTATCTCACAATACAATCTAACTGTTAAAACAACTGTCTAGAAATATAGAATAGTACAAATGAATTGAAAAGAAGGAGAGTTAAGGTCTGCGGATGCCAAGGCAGCTACCTCAATAGTCTCCAAATAGATAAAACTCCAAAGCTATCAACCACTGTGCCCAGAAGTACTTGAATCTGCACACGAAGTGAAGAGTATAGTATATGTACAACCAACACAATGTACTCAATAAGTAACAAGACTAACCTTAGACTGAAAGCAGTGACGAGCTCAAACAGGTACAGTCCAAATACAGATTTTAAATGTACAAAAATATAGACAAGCTTTCAAGTTTAACAATATAAGTTCAACACGGATAAAATATTGCCAAGTGTGATTGATATGAGGAATGATACATCAATATATCTGCATGTTAATTATGCATGCCAATTGTAATGCAACACAGTGATAAAATCATATGCATACTCTCGGAGTATTTAATCTCACTCAGCATGCTCAATCACTCAGTCTTCCCAGTCACTCAGTCCTCCCACTCACTCAGAACTCTTAGTCACTCAGTACTCTCAATCGCTTGGTACTCGCACTTAGTAGGTACTTGCGCTTACTGCTGGTTTGTCAGACTCCGGAAGGGCGGATCCTACCCAAGAGCTAATATATAAGCCAATCATGGTTTGAATCAAAAAAGCATGTTGCGGCATGCAGCCCGATCCTATAAATATCACTCACAATCAGGCCCTCGGTCTCACTCAGTCATCAATCTCTCTAGTCTCTTGGGCTCACAAAATCTCATAACAATCAGCCCAAACAATGATAATATGGTGCAACAATAATGACAATAGAGATTGAGATATGATATATAGGATAGATGTGACTGAGTGCATGATTGCAAATTAGTAAATAATTCAACAACAAAGTGACCTCTGTAGGTCCAACAGTACCAACATATAGTCTAAATATGATTTCTAACATGAATCACAGCTTGATTTCTCTAACACATGGAAATTACATGAATAATAACAAGATTAGATGACTAAAAAGTTCTACGAAATCAACCGAGTTACAATAACTACAGTGCACGCACACACGCCCGTCACCTAGTATGTGCGTCACCTCAATACCGACCACATAACACATATTTCAGGGATTCATACCCTCAGAACCAAGTTTGGAAGTGTAACTTACCTCAACTCGTATAAATCTCTATTCCAACATGCCCTTGCCTCGCAAATCGACATCCGAACGACTCAAATCTAGCCACAAACAACTCGATACAATCAACAAAAGCTATAGAAATCAATTTCATATGATAAAGCTAAGTTCTTTAACAAAAGTTAAAAAGTCAACTAAAAAGTCAACCCTTAGCCCATGTCTCGGAATCCAACAAAAGTTACAAAATATGAACACCCATTCAATAACGAGTCCAGTCATATCAAAATTACTCAATTCTGACATCAAATCGTCACTCAAATCTCCAATTATTACTCTCCAATACATGGGTAAAAAAATCCTAAATTTTCACCTCAAAAATACCAAATCTATGGGGGGAAATTCAATATATTCAATATTAATAGATCAAAACGACCAAAAGTTGCATACTTTGTGAAATCTAGTGAAAACTCCTTCAAAAATTGCCTCAATCCGAGGTGCGATCCTTCGCAGGTGCGATCGCACCAAACTTGGTGCACTTCAGAAATTCCTCAAGTCCAAACTCATTCCGATTTCCATCTGAATCATCCTCGAGGCCTCCGGGACCCCATCCAAACATACCAACCCATCATAAACATCGTATGAACTTAGTCGAGGCCTCATATCATATCAAACAATAAGAAAAATATGAATCTCAACCCAAGACATATAACAACAAATGAACATAGAATAAGCAATAAATGGGGGGAATGAAGCTATAATACTCAAAACGACCAGTCGGATCGTTACAACTTGAAATATTAATAATTTAAGAACTTGCAAGCAATTCAATGATCATGAGGGAATTGAGAGAGAATTAGAGTAGAAGAAGAGAGAAAGTTGTGAGAAAAAATAAAGAAGAGGGGAGCTACTTATAGTTCTTAAAAGGATAAAAATATAACTTATCAATTATTAGGGGTTGAGAGGCAATTTTATTAAGGGGATAGGCCGAAACGGCTAAAAGTAAAAAAAAATAGTCGTTGCTCAATGGTCATTTTTTATTTTGGCTGTTGGCAATGCTCAAAATTTTAAAAAAACTTATAACTTATATCGGGCTGGAACATGGTTAAAACCCTTAAACTGGTTACCAGGCTAGCCGGGTTCCGATGCACCGGTAGTCAAAAAAGGCTCGACCCCGTCCGATACAACCCCCTACCCTAGACAACCCATCCCACCTCTTACCGGACCGGGCTGAACCGGGTCGAACGAGGTTGTTAGTGGGTCGATCCGACTCGACTCGATTAACACCTTTATCTACTGGTCTCTGAGCCAAGAGGTTACTTCTCACATTGTTGTAGCTTCATTTAACCCCATAAAATATTGCAAGAGACGTGATTTTAGATGTTTAACATATGGTCTAGACTCTTCGTAACTACAGGAAAGTAGGGGAGCCAGCACATCTTGTTCATCCCATAAACCCTTCATCTTCGACTAATAGCTAGTTGCAGAGTCTGTACCTTGTTGCAAGGTTGCAATTTCTTTCCAGAGATGATAAAATCTCGTCAAGTTCGATGTATCAAACCTCTCCTTAAAATCTCTCCAAACCTTCTTCGCATTTGAAGCATACACAATGCATCAATTCATTCGAAACAGAACTTTTAATCACTACTAGAAATTCGCTATTTTTCGACTACCAAAATAGTCGAACAGTAGTCGAAAAAGCGCCTATTTCAATTACTTTCCTACCAATTTACAATATTCGGAAACTACTGTAGTCGGAAAGTTTATTCTGCCAAAAATTTGAAAAGTGAGCTATTTTCTGACAAAAGTAGTCAGAAATTCAATAAAACAACTAAATATTTTAGAAAAAATATTTTCGACTACTGTAGTCGAAAATATTGTATAATAAATAATAATTATTTATTAATTATTTTTATTTATTTTCCGACCACAGTAGTCGGAATGTTGAATTTATTGAAATTTTCATTAACTGTTTCGACTACTGTTGTCGGAGAAATCATTATTTCTCGGCACATTTTCGGACCACAGTAGTTGAAAAAACTGGGTTGATTTTTTCCGTTTTATTGGCACACCACTTGCCAAATGACCGATCAATAAACAACCAATTCAACCAACCAATCTATATTAAGAGCATAATTCTCTGGCTTAAGAGCACAACCAATTCAACCAACCAATACGAAGTCTTCTCCCTGAGCTGCAATAAGATTTTGCCTTCCTCCTTTATATTTAAAGAGAATAAAAATCCGAAACATCAGTAAATTTTATCACAAACCATCATCCCAATCACTGAACTATACATTAATCCCAAGCCGCCAAAGAAATTTTTATATCTAGAAAACGAAACTCTAGGTTGTCTTAGCCGAAGAAATAAACAGAGAGAGGGAGAACTTACCGTTGGAAATAGCAGCTAACTTAAGGGGTTGCCGCCGCTGAGGGGGAGATTGTGTAGAGAGGGGAGAGAGAGAAACTGAATAATATGGGACAATATATAATTAGATCTCTTTATTGTCCGACTACGATAGTCGAACATTAAATTTTTTACTCCCTCCGTTCTAATTTATGTGAACCTTTTTAACTGGGCACAGAGTTTAAGAAAAAAATGAATACTTTTGAATTTTGTGTTCCTAAACAAGTTCAAATGGGGCCCGGAATATTTGTGTGATTATAAAAGTTTCTCATTAAAGGTAGAGTTGTAACTTTAAGCTAAATTGTTACCAAATTTAGAAAGGGTTCCTTCTTTTTGTAACGGACCAAAGGAAATAGGTTCACATAAACTAACGAATGGAGTAATTATTTATGTTCTAAACTTTCGACTGTTGTAGCCGAAAAATTGGTCAAAGATCGTTTGACTTATTTCCAACTATTTCGGTAGGAAAGTTTGTTATTTTATTTGATTATTTTTTAGTCTTCTGACTAGGGGTGTTACACGGTTCGATTTGGTCGGTTTTTGATTAAAACCAAAACCAAACCAATTTAATCGATTTTTAAAATTTTAAAATCAAAATCAAACTAAATTAAATATAAACTATCGGTTTGATTATTGTTGGTTTGGTTTGGTTTGGTACGATTTTTCGATTCTTACTAAGCTAATGATAAGTCGATAATAGTAAAACAACGCTAGACAACAATCTGAAAATAATTTGCTAAATTTATGCTTTTTTATATATTTCTTTCAGAACTGAAAGTTTATTTACCTGTTTATATGAAAAGAATGAACAAAAAAAACAAACTAAAAGCTTGCTTTCTCAAGCTTTAGCCATTGTTATCTTGCAATTTGAATGTGCTTTCTTTACTCTTGTGGTGATTTTTTTTTAACTCTTCTGTTAGGCAAAAGTATGTGCGGAGGGTTAGAGAATTAGAGTCTATTAATGAAAAGAAATTGGTTGAATCCTATTGTTTTGGGCTTAGATAATCTTTTAAGATATAACAGAATAAACTAAAATTCAAAATAACAATTAAAATTATTTACAAAAAGATATTATATTGTATATAAATAACTATTAAATTTTGTATATAATTAATCGGTTTGGTTCGGTTTATTTTTCGGTCTTTTAAAATAGAACTAAAACCAAACCAAATATTATTGGTTTTTAAAATTTAAAACCAAAACCAATCCAAATCAAAAAAAATATCGGTTTACTTAATCGGTTTGGTTTGATTTTCGGTTTGGATCGATTTTCCGCCAAACCGTGAACACCCCTACTTCTGACAACTGTAGTAGGCCAATTTGGTCAAAATAACGCGCGAAATTTTGCACGAAATATTTTGACTATTACAATCGAAAGAGTAATATAAAATAAATTAAAAATAATAATCCGACTACACTAGCTGAAAAAATTGCGATTGAAATATGTAGTCGAAAATTACAGTTGGAAAATAGTGAATTTCTAGTAGTGAATCTACGATAGCACTATCACTTTGCATTTCTCCCATTGCTTTTCTAATTCTCCTTTGTACGTCGCCTTGATGCAAGCTCCCTCTACAAATCTAAGCTTGTCTTTGCCACGAAGTGTCAATTTCATTTCTTTACTCCATAGAGCATAATTGTATGGCCCAGTGAGCTTGAGCGGAATCATAAGCAATCTAGGAGCATCTCCGACCGGGAGATAGAGGGTCCGGTTGTGATCAAATGATCTAACTTCATTTTCTACCATGTCTTGCTCATATCAAAAATCCTAATTCTACCAAATTCGTTGGAATTTCACGTTAGAATTAGGGGTGTGCATTCTGTCACACCTCCTTTTTCCGATCCCGCGAAGGGCGTAGGAGTTTTTTTTTCAATTAAAGGACAATCGAAACGGGATTTATTTATTTATTTTAGAGTCGCCACTTGG